ACGAGAAGTCAATCAGTGTTCGGGTTGCAGGATGAGGAGTAGTTGTTGCCCATGGTAGGTGACCACTCCTGCAGACCGGACAGCACCGATTTGGGTGCCGACTGTGGAAGCATCACATCCAATTCTCGCAGTTGCAGTTGCTGCACCGAATTCTACGACATAGACAGATATCCCCAGCAACATGTCTCCCACAGGCACGGAACACAGAGGCAAGGCGACCGCAATTGTAGAGGCATTGCCATTCGAGCCCCTGTCTACAAATTGGGCATGGCATGTCAGGGTGCCGGACTTGAGTGCAGTATTGACTGTCATCATACGTATGGAAACAGAAAGACACACGGGCTGTGCCTTCAACATCCTCATGACACAATGCATGTAGCCCACATGCTAGTCGAATCTCGAGTGGATCATCATAGAACAACATTGAGCAAGTGTTTTGGGTTTCCTCGACATTGATTCCTTCTCTATGGACCAACGACGACGACTGTGGCAAGAGGGGGTCATCCAAAACAAGGGTGTCTAGCTGCTGCAGGATGTGTTCTGCAACAATTCGTCCTGGTGGTGTTAGCCCTTCAGCACAGTGCTCTATAAGCGGCTCATGTGGTACTCTATTTTCCTGCTCAGGCTGTTGAGTTTGCTGTTCGTTGGGCAAGAAAGAAGGGGATCCGATGGCGTTCGCAGTAATTGTATGCCCAACTCTGCATGTGGGACATGCCAAGAGAGGATGTGGTGGATGATGGCATCGTGGATAGTCCATGAAGTAGAGGCACATGCTTTCCATGACAGCTTCCTGGAAACATTGATGACACATGGCATGTTGCTGACACGTCAGCAGGAAGGCAGGTTGACGTTCACAACTATTTAAGCATGGCAGATTAAGGCCACAGCAGCATATTGGGCAGGCGATTAGGGGGTGGGGGGGATAAACACAAGACAAAGAGTCGCAGTTTTCGCGACAGAGGCGGGCAGTGACCATCCCTTCATAGTGTTCGGAGCAGTCTAGTTGTGTGGCCAAAGAATGGAAGGGCACAACCAACATCTTCTAAGGAGGTTCTTTCATTGTCTGGAGCAAAACCTGCAAGATCTACACAGGGAGGGGACACTGCTTGGTCATGTGCAGGGGAGGGAGGTAATTGCGCATCCGGATTGCTCTCTAGAGACAGGGGCGCTTGTGGGTGCGAAGTAACATATTGTTCCTGAAGGACAATCCAAATTGAGTGAGTATTTGCTACTTGGTTATAGAAAGAGTTAATGCTACTTCCCGTGTGCACCCTACCTCCATTGTCCCCGAAGGACCATGAATTGTCTGCAAAGGTCACAGTGCTGAAATGTCCTGGACGATACAGGATGTACGTGCAAATATTTGAGTTCATGTTTGGCATATGGTTTCGTCGAGAAGGCTGCAGTTGTAGTCTTCTACCCGTAAATGCCATAGACAAGACTTCTATGTTCACTCCAGGATCAGTACTATCATCCTCTGGGCAGACAGCATGGTGCTCTTCTTCTATCCAACGGACAATATCAGCAAAGTCAGAAATTGTGTAAGGGTTACAATTGTAAGCGAGGAGACTTACGTTTTACATTGACAGCATAATACAAACAATAGCCTCGCTGCAGCACTATGAGATCATATGATTCTGCTGGTTGTGCAGGAGGGGAAAATTCATTCAGTTATGTGGATTGCACACGGCAGGCCGAGATTCAATGTGGTCTTTATCGTTTCTATCAGGTTCCTCCGTTTGTGGGAACTGCATTGGCTCTAGCGCACGCTCCGGAGAGAGGTCATCTCCAGTCAGGGGCTCCATCAAATGTTCAGAAGGAAGGTCATTGATCGTCGGGGTTGGGGAACATGCATGGTCAGGCGAGGTAGAAATGGGTGGGTGAGATATGGGTTGGTCAGATGCATGTAATGGAGGCTGATCAGCCGCACTCGTACTAAAGGTGGCTGCCAGTCGTGCAAAAGTTGCACAGGAGGCCGACCGCACCTCGTGTTTGATGCACACACAGGCCCGTAATGCTGAAGAAATCGTCGTCACATTGTTGGAATCGAACTCGACATGCACTATTCCGGGCTAGTGCATACCGAGCACGACGTCCTCATTTTGTACGGTTGCGGGCATAGCGTCGGAGCAGATCTCGAACCCCAGCAGGGGGCGCAGTGATTATACTATCCATGGACAAACTAGGTCATTGTCTTGGAGACGGTGGTGGAGACGGAGAGCGCCGCCGCCGACGAGGTGTTTGCAACGACCGATTTAACGGTAGATGCCTTGGACAAAGGGGTCGCTGCGACGGCTGATCTGACTAGGAATGTGTTGATAACAAAGATACTGAATCAGGTAAGGTGGTGGAGGAGGGG